TTAGCGCTGATCCTCTACTCGAGAACGAGTCCTAATGGAAGGAGCCGGTTTTTGGCTTCGCGGATTGTTGAACGCGCCTTGTTTCCTAAGGCAGGTCCGCTTGAGAAGCGAGGTCCATATGTCAGGCACAGAGCTGATGGCAAAAACGCGAGCTGCCAGTCCTATAGACAACGATGCGGGGGAAAGGTCTGAGATAAGAGGAAGAAAGGGCACAAGAGATAAGGAGTGAGGCGAAAAGAAGAGGCGGCAAATGTACAGAAATCAATGGTAAAAATCACCTTTGGAGGCAACAGCCGACAGTTTAACTCTCAAGAGCTTCTCGCTTTGAGAAGGTTTATCATACTTCGAGCTAATGTTTTCCATATTCTTCTGTAAGGCTAATTCGGGATACATTACATAAGGATTGAGCAAAGGCAGAGTGCCGGGAAAAATACCCCCCCTCTCTCTCTCACACACACAGCGTACAAAAGTTGATGCACTCAACTAACTACAATGTCATGAAAAATGCATACATATTCATGGAATATTTTATGCATAAATGTATATATCAAATTATTATTGGGAATAAATGTAAAACATGGAGAGTCGCGTTTCGTTCCGAAAAATAAATAATCTTTAATTGTTTGATATAATTTAAGATCTAAAGCTTTAACAAGTGATTATTATATTTCTCCCCTACACACATTTATATATATATATATATATATATATATATATATATATATATATATATATATATATATATATATATATATATATGTGTGTGTGTGTGTGTGTTGGGGGGTAGAATGGAGATCAACGTGTTTTAGTGAACTCAGCAATTTTCAATCTGCTTGTCTGAATCATCTTCAAGAAGCGAGAGCAAGATCTAAAAGGTCAGCCAATCTAACAGGGATCTCATCTCACAATCTCACACTTGCTCCATATGTGGCCTCCTTTGTAAATCACTAGCAGGTCTTAAATGCCATTTAAGATTATCGCACAAACTTTCATAACTGAATCAATAAGCTGTCAGATTCTCATACGTCGAAACCGACGGGAGAGTCCATTATATATATATATATATATATATATATATATATATATATATATATATATAGTAGTATTCGAGGATACCGTCTATTAGGGCGATCTACTAGTCAATCCCTGTTACAGACGTTTGCTAAGGCGCATTTGTATTTATTCAACACCCACTGAACCCACCAATGGGTTTATACTGCAACTATGCTGAGCAGACCTTAGTTACAGTTTCTGGGATAGAGCGTGTTATCTAGCGTGATCAACATTTTGAACAATCCCTCGGTCACGATGACTTGTGACTTCATGCTAGCACAGCTATCGACGGGCCCAAGGGTTCCGTCTACCTAATTTCACTTACAAGGCTTGTGTCAATGCGTGGTATTGTTTTCAGGCACTTTCCAAATGTGCTGAACGCTGGGATCGACCCCTTCAGTTCGATGACATCAGTATGTCTTCTTCCTCACAAAAAGACCATGGTGAGATTTGAACCCGGGAATCATGGTCAGAATGCGAACCACTTGGCCACGCCCATATATATATATATATATATATATATATATATATATATATATATATATATATATATATATATATATATCCTCCTTAGGTTTACCCATACGGATTACCTAGTTTTCATAAACTATATATATATATATATATATATATATATATATATATATTATTAGTGTTTAAGCCTTTTTATTATATCCTTACTCTGTCCCGGACATTGAGTTCGACCTGGATTCTATCCTCTTAGAATTTTTTTTATACAAAAAATATATATGTATGTATATGCATGTATGTATATATATTTATATATTTTGCATATGTATGTATATTTACCACTAATATTATCTCTCTCTCTCTCTCTCTCTCTCTATATATATATATATATATATATATATATATATATATATATACTGTATCCAAAATACTTTTTACAAGCGTTGGTAGTGGGTTCTTGATACCAGAACAAAGTAAAAAATGCATATTTACCACTAATATATATATATATATATATATATATATATATATATAGGGTGTATCCAAAATACTTTTTACAAACTTTGTAGTGGTTATTGATACCAGAACAAAGTAAAATGTATATTTTGTATATGTATGTGTATATTTACCACTAACATTATCTATCTTCTCTCTTCTCTCTCTCTCTCTCTCTCTCTCTCTATATATCTCTATATATATATATATATATATATATATATATATATATATACTGTATCAAAATACTTTTACAAGCGTTGGTAGTGGGTTCTTGATACCAGAACAAAGTAAAATGTCCATATAAGCATCTGGCCAAAAGGCCATCGTTGTACCTCAACACAGCAACTCATAACAAATGTTCAAAATGTCCTCTGCTGGCAACGTCGGATTATTGACTGGCAGACGCTTTCAAATCCTTCCACACGGTGTCGAATGGTTTCGCAGGCAACCATGACACATTGATGAAGCGTCTCTGCATTATTAATGTATGCTGCATAAACCAATTGATTTAGGTTGCCCCACAGATAAAAATCAAATGGATTGAGACCGGGGGAAAGTGCACGTCATGGAACCTGTCCTCCCCTAACAGTGCCATCGCAAACAATGTGCCTAAAATGTGCTGGATCCCCACCATGTATCCAACCACACGCGCCTTTGAATAAGCAGGGTCTGGAAGTGTGTTCGATATAAAGTCCCTGTAGACAGCTCCTGTAAGACATGATAGAACTACATATGGATCTACCTGACCGTCACCTATAATCCCAGCAAAACATTAATCGTAAACTGATGCTGGTGTCTAGCCTGTATTGTACGATGATGATTCCGATCCACCCACAATTGTTGGTTGTGTAAATTTGTTATTCCATTTCTTTCAAATGTTGCTTCATTCGTAAACAAGACTGAAGAGACAAACAACGGATCCGCAGTTGGTGCAATAAAACACCGGCAAGTGAGTGAGTGACCAGAGGGCGAAAGACCCTGCGCAAGTTGAAAATGATACGGGAACTGCTCTTAAAGTACCCTCCATATGGTATTATGAGATGCACGACATGTGTTATAAAATAAAATAAGACATATCTCGGCTGATTTACAGGCAAATACTCAAGAGCGAGAACCGGATGTAAACGGGACAAAGCCCCGTCACAAAATGACCATTATCTTTCTTCACAAATGTTCCCGACACACGTGTTCCGGTCGAAAAATAAAATAATATTTAAAGTGCTCTATTTTTTGTCCAATAAAAATGTTTCCCTGTTAATTATACTCGCTTCGTTTTTCGAACCTGTTAAGCCATAAAAAAACGCTATAAAAGGGGTCACACGGAAGTTCAACAGGCAGTCAACAAGTGGCCAGTGAACAGACCTGGCGGTCAGGCCGAGCGATCAGCAGCAGGAGAGCATCAACCACCGTCAACATGTGTGAACTACTATGAGAGATCGACCAGATCCGAAAGCCGGCTTATGAACAAGGTAGCTGTCCCAAACCCTCACGTTCCTGTTGAAATAAACCACGTAAATCTATTTCTACTGTTGTCGTATTTCTTTCTTGCAACCATACGCTTGTCTATAACAGATGCTAGGACCACTTGATGTGTGATAATGCCGGGATCATCTCCGACAGTAAAATATGTTCTTTGTGGTCAACCGTACGAGCGGATCTCGGTCTTTCTTGATCTATAGTTTGTGGTGCCACTGGTCTTGTCTCAGCAACGCGACGATAAACAGAAGGAAAGGTTGGATTACTCGTATGCAAACTGATACATCTGTGCAGCCTCGTGTTCATTACCATTCGCGCGGTCGTATGTAAAAATCATATCTGCCTGTGCACGATATGAATATACTGCCATTTTTAAACGGAACAGTTCTCAGTTAACTCACTACTACACACATTAAATGTTGAATTCAGACTAGCCACAAATGTACACAAATATAAACTAGTCTATATGGCATCACGGCGCCATCTACCGTAAAATTTCTTTAAACTTAACTCAAAAACGAAGGATTTGCAGACATCTTTATGTGAACTTTTGTCGTTGTTTTGGTGTAAGGAACTCGCCCCCAACGTTTTTGAAGTATTTTTAATACACCCTCTCTTTCTCTCTCTCTGTGTGTGTGTGTGTATTGTTAACAAAATGGTAAAATGGTAAAGTGACGCTTTTTATCCCAAGAAGGAACACTGGTGCTACTGAAAAAGTATGCCAATATACCAAACAGGCAGTTATTCTTACCTACAAGTACAAGAAAAAAAACTGCATAAACAAATTTAAATCAGCACTAAACAGATCATAACCCCACACACATAAACACACAGCATACACACATAATGGTCAAATGCACTGGTCGGTGCACACACACGCACACACACACACACCAGTATTTATGGAGAACGAATATATATACACATACTAGCAGAAAACAAATGCAATAGACTACCCACGAGCAAACACACAAACCCTACACAACATAGGAAGTGTTTGTATTGTATATATATATATATATATATATATATATATATATATATATATATATATATATTCCTTATAATAAAACAGTATATATGTACGGAGAAGGAATATGCATACACATACTAGCAAAAACACACACGCACACACAATACACAAAAATGGAGATGGATCTAAGGTGATACAGGGGTCATATGAACGAAGACCGCCTTCCACCGCCCTTTCTCTAACCAACTCTACTTGTTTTATTACCCCTTTCGCCACAAGTCCATGAAAAACCTGGGTTATTACTACACACAAAAGACAATGGTTAAGTATCTGAAAACATAAGGAAAATGAATTCCTTTTAATAATATGTGGAAATAACCACTTTTTGCCTGATGAAGGTCGCGAGACCGGAAACACGCGTAGCAAAATTATGGAAAATAATATATTTAAAAAAATACACATTATAACCAAAAACGTTTGCAGATTTTCTCTTCTCGTTAAAATATACACTTTTCTCTTGGAACAACTATAACCTTTCCCTTATATATATATATATATATATATATATATATATATATATATTATTTAAAAGTTACTTATAGTGGGTAACCATATTTGAGCAGACGCCCCGTTTATTTTATTAAAGTATATTATTTATTTTCGTCTGTTGGTGTGAATATTCGGGAGGATTGGAACCTGCACCCACCCTGGGCAGGAGAAACCGTCGTTAGATCTGATGTGCTATAGACTTCTCAGCCACAATGATTAAGCATACATGTTATTTCTAGAGTCCGGGGAAAGATGTGCGTTTAAATCATTATTCAACTGTACTTGTTTATCGACGCACTTCGTGCCCAAGAGCTCTAAAGCCAGACAAAAAAAAAAAAAAAAATGAATATTTAAAAAAAATAATGGAATATTAGTAATTCATCTAAACGACTAGCTTAATTGAATGTTAAGAAAAATTAATGGAATATATCAATTCATCTAAATGACTAGTTTAATTGAATATTAAGAAACATTAATGGAATATCAACAATAGAGCTAAACGAAGAGATTAATTGAATATTAAGGAAAAATAACAGATATTAAAAATTCATCTACGCCAAAAGGCTGATTGCATATTAACAACGCATCTTAAAAATGTCAATTCATTACTGAGAAAAAAAAAGAATGAAAAACCTCATCGAATATCAGAATATATTACTGGCAAAATTATTTATTGTATATTAACAAGCGACATCAAACAATGTAATTAAACACTAAAATATCGAGTTGGCTAAAAAATAATTATAGTTAAATATTAATAACAATTCATCGCAGTTGAAAAATGATTAAACAAAATAATCCATACATTTTATTGATGAGTATGATAGCAAAGAAAGTGCGCTGGTGAGTGCTAGATTGTCTATTTTATTTTAATAGTTTCTTTTCTCACACTTCTATCGTGTAGAACACCTGATTTCCTGCTTTCCCTGCCATCTTCTGTCTTCCTGGAACATGTTCTTTTATTGTCTTTTCTCCTCACTAAAGTCTTCTGATTCTCTTTCATTCCCTGCAACCTTGTAACCTTGTTGTGCGAAAGTCACACGGTGTCGAATACAATGTAAGACTGAGAAGAAGAAGAAGAAGAAGTAGAAGAAGAAGAAGACTACGGAGAAGAAGAAGAAGACTACGGAGAAGACGAAGAAGAAGAAGAAGAAGACTACGGAGAAGAAGACTACGGAGAAGAAGACTACGAAGAAGACGAAGAAGAAGAAGAAGAAGACTACGGAGAAGAAGAAGAAGACTACGGAGAAGAAGAAGAAGAAGAAGACTACGGAGAAGAAGAAGAAGAAGAAGACTACGGAGCAGAAGAAGACTACGAAGAAGACTACGAAGAAGAAGACTACGGAGAAAAAGAAGAAGAAGAAGAAGAAGACTACGAAGAAGAAGAAGACTACGGAGAAGAAGAAGACTACGAAGAAGAAGAAGAAGAAGACTACGGAGAAGACTACGGAGAAGACTACGGAGAAGAAGAAGAAGAAGAAGAAGACTACGGAGAAGAAGAAGAAGAAGAAGAAGACTACGGAGAAGACTACGGAGAAGAAGAAGAAGAAGAAGAAGAAGAAGAAGAAGAAGAAGACTACGGAGCAGAAGAAGAAGAAGAAGAAGACAAAGACTTCAGTAATTTCGTTACAGAAAGATTACAAACCTTTTGCGTACTAGTGGTACTATTGCTTTGTTTGGTGTGAAATGATTAAAAAAAAAAACGAAAAGAAAAAAAAAGATGTATACAGTGTGGACATAGCAATCCGCTCTGTCACATTCATGCCTCAAGCGAAACTCAAACTATGAGGATCGCTTGAGGCGTGAAATCACCATGCAGTATCAATTTTACTGTCTATATATATAAATGCTCCATCTCCAATACGGAACACTTCCCACAATAAATATAGCACATTTTAATCAACATATATTTGTGTTTGTGTCAATAAACAAACGAGCAAGAGTTTATCTACGTTTAGATAACTGCAAATAATGTTTTTATTGTTGAAATAAGTTAAGAATCTCCCGAAGAAAACTTTTCCTAACACAGGATTTCTATCACTGGTTGGCACTTATATTTGCAATTGTTTTCTCGTTTTCCTATCCTATAGACGTCGGATTTATTGTCTGTAAGATGTCTGGAAGCCGTGGAGAGCACCTGTGGCTCATTGACTAAGAAAATTTCGCAAAGAAAAACTTAGCAAACAACCGCAGAAACTTACAAAAGAAAAGGAAAAAAAAAAAAAGAAAGGAAAACACAACTAACAAATTGTAAGCAGTCCGTACTATTAGTAGAAACCACAAAGCCATATACAGACAAATCGTCTTAGTCGAATTTAAGTGTGTGTTGTCAAGCAGCGAGCGAGTCGCAGGTGTTGCGGTCTTCGCAAGATATTCTCTCCATTCTTTGGGAACCAAATCCCATCGGACGCTGGCAAAGATTTCGTCCTCCACGCTGGAAAAAACATTTCACGCATCACTGATTCTCAACGCTATTAAACATCGCTTATTGCAATATTTGCTTGCTACAATTGGCGTATGGATTATGGATACGGACTCGGAGAGACCCACTAGGAATAGGACGCGCCGGTCCTGAAGCAGATGACTTCGACATATGTTTTGTAAAAAGCGACCACGTTTATTATTGCCATGTTTTTTAACCGGGCAACCAATAAAGTGTACATTCAGATAAATCTCTGTAATTAAGTCTTGTCGGACTACACAAAGCAATGGTTAACGGCCCGACAATAATAAGTAAAAAATGAAGTTAGAATATTTCGAATTTTTTTCCCATTTCAGGCGAGGGATTTCTACTTTCTGAACAGTACAAGAGAATTAAAGTGTCTCTCACCATCATTAAATGCATGAAAGATATGTATGAGAAAGAGAGAGATTGGGTGAGAGAGAGGGAGGGAGAGAGAGTGGGGTAGAGAGGAGGAAGGAGAGAAAGAGCTACAGTGATAGATAAGCAGAAAAATAATGAGGTAAAGAAAGAGAAAAAGATAGATAGATAGATAGATAGATAGATAGATAGATAGATAAGTAATTGAGATAGATAATGAAGAGATTGAGATATATAATTATGAACATATTGAGATAGATAGATAGATAGATAGATACGAATAGATTTAAATTTTGAACGAAGATAGATTCCGAATAGAATTTTATGTTGGAATAAAAGAGCAGGTTGGAAAATTAATTTGGCTTCGAAACAAAAAAAAAAATGAAAAGAAGATTTTTGAAAAAACAGACAGGTTGGAAAAGAGCGGAAAATGAAATAAATCTGGATTTAAATGAATGTGTAAGAGTAGATAGATAAAAAATAAAAATAAAAATAGATTTAAAGATAGATTCGATAGAAACCGACAGATAGATAGATTGATAGATAGACAGATAGATAGATAGGATTAGTGTTAAATTGTTAATGAAGATAAGTATAGACATAGCTAGATACGAATAGATGCAAATTATTAATGAATATAGATAGATAGGCAGATAGATAGATAGATAGATAGATAGGCATGATTAGATTTAAATTTTTAATGACGATAGATAGATACGAATAGATTTAAATTTTTAATGAAGATAGATAGATAGATAGATAGATAGATAGATAGATAGATAGATAGATAGATAGATTCCGAATAAAACTTTATGTTGGAATAAAAGTGCAGATCAGAAAATCCATTCAAAATTTATTTGGTTTCGAAACAGAAAATGAAAAGGAGAGATTTGAATAAACAGACAGGATGGGAAAAAACGAGAAATGAAAAATCTGTATTTAAATGAATGTGCAAGAGTAGATAGATAAAAAAAAAGAAGAAAAAAAATTTAAAGATTTTAAAGATAGATTCGGCAAAAACAGACAGACAGACAGACAGACAGACAGACAGATAGATAGATAGATAGATAGATACGAACAGATTTAAATTGTTAATGAAGAAAGATAGACAGATAGATGAATTCCGAATAGAACTTTATGTTGAAATAAAAGAGCAGGTTGGAAAATTAATTCAAAATTAATTTGGTTTCGAAACAAAAAATGACAAAGAAGAATTTGGAATAAATCGAAAGTTTGGAAAAAAGCGGAAAATGAAATAAATCTGCATTTAAATAAATGTGCAAGAGTAGATAGATAAAAAAATAATAAAAATAGATTTAAAGATAGATTCGACAGAAACAGATAGACAGACAGACAGACAGACAGATAGATAGATAGATAGATAGATAGATAGATAGATAGAGTTCGATAAAAATAATGATAGAAATAGAGTAACAGAGATGGATAGATTAAAAACAAAGAATGAAAGATATGATTTTTAATCATTTCACCCCAAGCAATACAATAAAACCACTAAGACGCAAGCGGTTACTAACCGTGAAAGAATATGAGGAATTAAGAAGACAGAAGAGAAAGATTGACATCGCAGTTAAATATTTCAAGATCAGAGTTGACTAGGAAGCAAGAAGCTGGACAAGAGTTCCAGAAGTGAGAAGTGCAAGAGAAGAAACTGTTTGTATAGAACTTGCGGTTGCATCTAGCAATATCAAATGTAAAATGATGAGACCTAGCTGCCAATCTAGTACTGCGCTTACTTTCGTAAAGTTGAGGTACCAAAGAGAAAAACTCATTAGAACAGTCACAGGAAAGCTAGATTACGGAGTTGGGTAAGTGACTGAAGCCGAGATGCCAGGTCAGAGCCAATAACACTGCAGATTATTCTCTGTATTTTATCAAGAATCTCTAAATACATAGAAAAAAATACCAGACCAGATGTGACAGCATTACTGAAATACTGAAAATATAAAGTTAGCTAGAAATATAGATGGCGAGAAAGTGATTGCTAGACAGAGATAGAGATATTGATATATAGGAACAGAGATACAAATAAAAGATATAAACAAATGAGTCTTTTTCTCCGCAAAATGACTGCCAGTTTTTTTGCCAGCGTATTATATGGATATCACGCGCGGGATAGAAATATCTAAATTGTCAGCTATCAATAAACTTTTTTTAAGATCAATGATTAAAAAATGGCTTTACGCAAATGAAACCAGTATATCCTAGCGAGAACCAGGTGGATTGGCGATACACAATCAAAAACAAGGAATTTTGCCGAATAACGGAAACCACACCATTCGATGACTTCCAACAACAGTAACAACTAAAATGGATATCAAACGTAACTTGAAGAGAAAATAACGGGATAATCAAGATAGGATCTTTTCTGTTAATTCACCACCCGTCACTCACCAATATTAATTCACCCCAAAATAAAAAGAATTTATATTTACTAAAATTCCCACTAAATTCTCCCAGAGCGATGCCCTTCCATTGCACTCCGGTTGAGTTCACCTTTGTGATCGCTCCAAATTTGGGCGATTCGTGTGGGCTGTTTCTAAGTATGGGGTCGCGCTCACACCGATAAAAAAAGCCGAAAAAACAGATTTCTTTTTCTTTTTTTTTTTTTAAAAATTGTAAAAAATGCCTTGTAAGTACCTAGAATATCTTCTGCACTTACGAAATATGAAGAACTCCCTGATTTTTGGTCATTTTTCATTCAGAGCGTTGGAGTTGTTGCGAGTAAGCGAAACAAATTTTAATTTAAAATTTATAATTTCAAGAGTACCAAACATTTAATAAAAACAAACTTTGATTTAAAATTTGTAATTTCTTGGGGTGAATTAATATTTGTCATAAGTCACTTTACATTATTTGGGGCGAATTAACAGAAAAGATCACAAAATTCTGGCATTCTCTACATTGTAAATTAAGCAATTAAGAGAATTCAGCAGGGAGGCTTAGAAATAACGATCGTAGAATAATGATCTGCGAGTTGCACTAAAAGGTAACAAAAATTAACACCAAATTCTCCCAGAGCGAAGCTCTTCCATATATATATATATATATATATATATATATATATATATATATATATATACAAGGCGCATAATCCAGTAACTTAACTCAAAGAATTGTGAGTTTAATACCTGGCCATAGTAGAAGAGAAGAAAAACTTGAGAGTTGAGTTAAAGGGAGATAACTGAGATTTTCGGAAGAGGCATGGCACGTAGAACTAGAACAATCTACCCCCGTGGGCGAAATAAAGCGTCCGGTTTGAAATTCCAATCACCTGAAGAATGCCAGAGCGTACAACGGCCGAAACGTGAATATGGCAGCAAAAATGAGGACAACAGTCAGAACAATGTAAACAGAGAAACATGTTAGAGTGATAAACGTTTCTTATTTGTTCTTTATCTTATCAGCGTTTAGTAAGCAGAGAGGATTAGAAATAACGATCGGAGAATAATGGTCTGCAATTTGCACTAAAATGTAACAAAAATAAAATGAAAGAAAAGTTATTCAACAATTCATAATAATTGGCAATGTTTAACTAATAAAATCAAGTAATATTGGTACTAATTCGGATCTTTTCTGTTAATTCCCCCCGAAATAAAAAGAATTTATATTTACTAAAATTAACACCTCGTTCTCCCAGAGCGAAGCTCTTCCATTGCACTCCGGGGGTGGGCCCAAATGTGGGCGACACGGTGCGCTATTTCTAAGTGTGGGGGTTTACGTTCGCGCTGACATTGATAAACAAGCCAAAAACAGATTTTTTTAAATTTTTCTTTTAAATTGTAAAAAAAAAAAAAATTATTGTAAGTACCTGGAATATCATCTGCATTTACGAAATATTAATTCCTGCTTTTTGGTAAGTTTTTTTTTTATTCTGAGAGCTGGAGTTCTTGCGAGGCAAGCTAAACAAATTTTGATTTAAAATTTATGATTTCAAAAGTGGGCCAAAAATTTAATATAAAAAAAGCAATATTTGATTTAAAATTTATAGTTTCTTGGGGTGAATTAATATTTGCTATAAGTAACTTTATATTATTTGGGGTGAATTAACAGAAAAGATTCTCAAGATGTTATGACTCTACATTACTCCCCCCACCAAAAAAAATTTTGAAAGAACCCTCCATTAACATTGGAAAAAATCTATAACAGAGGACTTGAGAAACCTATTTTCCTGTAAAACTGTTTTCAGGGAAAGATTTTATAAATTTCACCCAAAAGTAGCATTAGGTGCTCAATCAATGATTCCTTGTATGGGAACGGCTAACAATTATTACTATAAGACGCATGTTTATATAAGGTTATTATCTTTATTTATCTTGCGGTAACTAATTTCGGTTCAGAATAATTACGGCTTCAAATTTCAATGTCGGTCAATACTGCATAACAGCGCAATGGATGCGAATTTTATGTTAAGGCATTTTTAGAAGTATGATTTAAAAGATGACAACTACAATTGGAGAGTCAAAGTATATCTTGATGACGTTCTCAGTTCAGCCTCTTGATCTTGTCACCTGGCTGGTTAATTAACATAATCTTCCGGTCGTCGAATTATCATTTCCTTTTGAGGAAAATATCGTCTGCGTTCGCGAATGTAAATTGGAAAAATGCGAAGCTCTCCGAGAAGAGTTCATAAGTTCTAGTTGAATAATGACTATATTTCTTGTCGAAATGGGATGTTGAGGTTTTATTGTCAATTCGACTCCAATAAACCTGGCTAAATTTGTAATATCTACAGAAAAGGCGAAACGTAAGCTCCAAGCGTGTTCGAAAGCTGCATCTTCACGGATCAGTCATTCGCATATTGTGATGGAAAAACCGTAAAGCCTGATGATATCGAGAGGTATTACTGTGGCGATTTAGGTAAATTTAATTGATTCAGTAATTCTAGTCAATAACATCTGATGAAAGGTTGTTTTCTTTAAGATTTAGAGGCTACGTCCACATGAGGTTTCTTCAATTATTGGTCTGAAAAAAAAAACAAAAAAACGGATGTATATGGTTGATAGTTTTCATAATTCTGAACGAGTTGGGCGTCATGCATGACATCCATATGAGAAGAGGATACTTAAAACATGACTCGAGTTCTTAAGTAAATAATTGGGACGCATAACGAGGAAAGAGGGTTTGGAGAATCTGATACTCACGGGTCGAATAGCGGGAAAGAGAGACAAAGGAAAACAACGCATGACATACCTAGCGGTCTTAAGCAAGTGGATGACAGAACGTGGTCTGGGGGGGAAGGCAGAGGGAAGGAACTTATTGTGAGCTGCAAGGGATAGAGGGAGGTGGAGAGTCATGATAGCGTCGTTCCTGAAAGGACATATCACATAAAAAGAAGCCCCGTTCGGTGTTGGGGGAAAAAACTACCCCAGATGCAGATTATCCCATGTTCATTTCCCTTAGCTCCTATAGTAAATTTGTGGTAGACAAACAAAAAGACTTAAAAAAAAAAAAAAAAAAAATAACATCCTTGCATAATTTGTGTAGTAATAGTAAAAGTCTACAACAAAATTGTGTTGAGTCTATGTAAAAGATTATATACGGCTGACGTCATATATTGCGAGAAACGACGAGATATATACTCTAGAATAACGGGATCAAACGAGAAATGAAGACATAGACCATATATCTTGCGAGAAATAATGTCCTAGAATAAAGAGATTTCTTTTTTTCCATTGTAGTTTTCTCACGGTTTCTTTTTTTGTTTCTCCATTGTTATTCTCCTTTATTAAATATGGCGAATTCATTCGTTGCAGCCAAGAAATATTATTCATACACTACTAAAATCTTGGGAGATGTTGGTTATTTTGTCACACATATATGTTTACGCAATACGTTTAGTTTTTAATCTATTCCCACTTATAATTGCAATAAATATACTAAGGGGGGTTACTGAATGTGAAACAATATGAGAAAAAGAAAAAAAAATTATTATGGATAGAGAACAATAAAAGAACAGGAATTCAGAAGACAGAAGATAGCGATTGACATTTCATTTAGATTTTTGAAGATCAAAGTTGACTGGAAAGTAAGAAACCGGAAAAAAGTGTTCCACAAACGATAAGTGTGAAAGAAGAAACCCTTAGCATAGAACCTCCAGTTACATTTACCAATTTCAACTGCAAAATGATGAGATCGTAGCTGTCAATCTAGAACTGCGCTTAAATTGGTAAAATTCCTGTACGAAAGGGGAAAGTTCACCAGAACAATTACCCTGAAAATATTTATAGAAAAGGCATAGGGGAACTACGTTTCGGCGATTGATAAAGTGACTGAAGCCGAGATGCCACTTCAGGACTGATAACGTTGCAGATTCTTTGGAATGTTAACTAGAATCTTGACATAGAGAGAAGAAGCAACAGACCAAATGTGGCAGCAATATTCAATGCACGGACGAATGGTCGACTTATAAATTTGAAAGGTCAATTCTGTGGAAAATTATTGTCATGCACGACACAGTCAACCAACTTTCCTAGATGCAGATCTAGCAATTGATTCAATATAATCTTTCCAGTTCATAGCAGAGTTAGAGAGTTGATCATATTAATCAAGTATAAGCCAAATGGAGAAAATGGGCGTAGAATGTTCGAAATCCCAGTCGAGCTCGAATCGAAAAACAAGCCATCAACATAGCTATCGAAATCAATCCAACAGACTCATTAGAGTCATGTTGGTAGAAAGAAACTTCTTGAATGCCCAGATTTAAAATATCTTCGAAAATTTCGTAATGAAGATCAACATATCCAGTCAGTCTGTGGTCAACTCATTGATTTCTGGACTTATTTCGGCTTTCATTTGCAAGGCAAACCTGCTGGTCTTCTCGTGGATGCTGTCTTTGGATCAATACTGACGTTGATCGTCCACAAGAAGCATAAACCACCACCAAAAGGTATTAAAGATCTTGTGGAAGGCCGGAGGCCAACATGATTCATTGAAAGCAAATTAAGTGTCCATACGACAATCGCTTAAGGGTCAAGTGAGCAACAAAATACCGCTGATCATATTCTTTCCATTAAAACCTGACAGATACGAGAACATTTCGCCGGGTTAAATAAACTGCAGCAGAACAATAAAAGAAATAAGTTTACGGATAATTTGTAATCTTAGTTTAATCTAGCACAAAACCAGATAACTGGAGCTTTCAATAAGGACATAAATCCATACTACACTATGAATGCATAATGTTAGGCGGAACGAAGAAGTGGGCGCCTAAAACTTAGTGTAAAAACAGGAGTGATGAAACTATGAGTTCAAACAACACTTGGGATGTCATTGATTCATCTCAAGAGGGCAGTACCAGAAAGGACGAAAAATGCATCTGCTGAAATATAGTGACAAAAAAACAACAAAGATTAGGCAATAATACGTGATTTGGTATCAATAAATGGCATGTTAATGTCACACAGTACAAGGAAGAACACAGAATGCATTTACTGAAACATAATGACAAAAAAAAGCAAGATTAAATTACTATTTACATTGTTCTGACTGTTGTCCTCATCTTTATAGTCATATTCACGACGATTCGGTCATTGTACGTGTTATGAACGCGCGTGTGGTTGCAGTCTCATATCTATCAATGAAATGCCTCGGATGAGTTTTGATTCACGGTCGGTGAATGAATATATGTGTGTGTGTGTGTGCAGCACATGGAGAAACGGGTGATGCGATAAGAAAAGAGTAATTTGCTACTCACGATTGGCTTAAAATTACCATTTATTCACAGGAGAAACATTACAACATATATTTAGGTATGTACAAATCACTGTCCCAAGTTACTGGGTTGTGTGTCACAACCGTTGGGACAGGAGAATATATAGCGTCCTTATTGTCTGGTAGCCATGTTCCAATCTGCCCCCTTTTTTGCGCGTCCCGCCTCTCAAAGTCGTATTGATCACGTGACTCGCGTGGTTTAGACAGGGGCAAAACAGGAAAAGTTATTTGAAACAGGAAAGAGTTATTTCCCTTGGAATGTATTTTTTATCCGTCCTAACAGTACGCTCCGGCATCCTTCAGGTGATATAATTTGAAATTTCGAACCGAACTGTTTATTTCGCACATTGTTCTAGTTCCATGTGTCATGCCTCTTCTAGATATTTCATCAGCTCACCTCTCCAAGTTTTTGTTTAGCTCTGCTGTGGCTAGGTATTGAACTCACAACTCTTTGGGTCAATCACTGGATTACTCCAACCAATACTTTTATCCACTGAGCCATTTGTCCTTGTAAAATACTAGTTTCAATAATACATGGGTTCTATTTTTTTTTAATCATTTCATCCTAAGCAAGGCGATAATGCCACTAATGCTCAAGGAGACTACTGGGAGTGAAAGAGAATGAGAAGACTTTAGGAGAAGGAAGGGGATACCCAATCCTAAAGAGGAAACAAGGGATAAACCTCTACTCCTGTTCAAAAGACCGGAGAGGTGTGTGGAAATTGCCCAATCCTGGTCGATATCAATACTTCGTCCATGACTGTCTCACAAGACGCAGAAGGATGAAAATGTGTCGGTTGAAACCTAATCACAAAAAACAAGAAAGATCAGCGTGCTAGTGGCAGTAATATATTGATTGATATCAGTAATTTGTCTGTTAATATCATGCAAAAATGAGGAATGACGAAGAATATATCGGCTGGAACCTAGACAGGAAAACCGCTGAGGTTATAATAATAGTAGCAGTAAGATGTAGGTTGATGTTAATGATTCTTCTGTGAATGTCATACAAGACGATGAAGGACGAAGAATGCATCAGCTGATATATAGTAACAAAAGGCATAGTATAATTACTGGCTAGACGTATCAGACGATACCTGTCTACTAGGGAGGCTAGACAATCCCTGTTGCAGACACCTGCTCACGAACATTTGTGTTTGTTCAGCATCCACACAGAGCACACCACTGGTTTATACCGCAACTATGCTGGGCTGACGCTAATTACAGTTTCACACACAGAGAGAGAGAGAGAGAGAGAGAGAGAGAGAGAGAGAGAGAGAGAGAGAGAGAGAAAACGAGAGAGAGAGAACGAGAGAGAGAGTGCATTATCTGACGTGATGATCAGTCTGAACAAGTCCAGTACGTTCAAGTCCTCGGTCACGATGACTTCTGACTTCGTGCTAACACAACCATCGATGGCTCCCAAATAGTTCCGTCTACCCAATTTCCCTCGCAAGGCTTGGGTCACCTCGTAGTAAGGTTTTCAGTCACTTCGCACATTGGGATCGCTTCTCCCAGACCAATAACATTAAGAAGGTGCCTTCCTGACTAATCGACCGTGTTGAAATTAGAAGGGAACGTTCTAACCACTCGGTCACATGTCCATGAATATGAGTATATATGATGAGTGTACACATTTTATTTACACTAAGCAAACTACTTTCTTTTTTTTAGACGCCCGAAAGAATCAGCGCATGCGCTAGGCTATGACAAACTTCTTAGGAGGCCTTGCATAGAAAATATACACATGGGAGCAGCTAATAAAGAAAGACAAATGACAAGTCTATTATAGCAGTCGCAGCAATAGCAATCAAAACATGAGCGACCTATCGAAGTTAAAACCTAATCAGCGGGAAGGCTAGGTTTAAAGCTTCAATTTCACTACAGCAGAATATCCTACTGGGCAATGGCCTAGTGGATAAAAGTGTTGGTTTGTGAATTTGTTGATATAGTGATTGTGAGTTCAATCGTCAGTGTGTACTAGACGAGAGATCTCGAGACATGAGAGGTGGAACGAGAACAGTGTAACCCCCGTAGATTGAAGAAAAGCTTTATTTCAGAATTACCCATACGTTACTCAGATCGATATACACATGAGGAAGTCCGGACAGGCTGTAATAACAAATGTGGCTCCACATACCGAAACCTTATATTAATTTTCCATTCACGTGCGTAAAAAAAAGCTAGAAAGACCGAAGCATGCGTCAACTGAAGATTGAGGTAATGTCAGCGACTCGTCTCCGGATGTCACCCAACATGTCACCTCATAGACGTGGTGGCCTAAGTATTAGCTTTGCTTCTCCTGCGAAGATTTCAAGGCATTCGTGATCAGGCAGAGGCTGTGTTGATCAGATCTTCAGTCTGCGGCGCATCTTCGAACAACGCTGGGCATACCAGCCACAGTCCTTTGCTTCGTCGATTTTGCGGCTGCTTTCCACTCCGTTGATAGAGGCTCACTCTGGCGTATCATGGAGGCCGATGGCATGCCGCTAAACTCTTTCGTCTAATCAGGGGCTACTACCGGTCGACGCGAGCCCGTGTTCGTGCTTATGGTGAGGAGTCGGAGACGTTTGAGGTGAGGACTGGTGTGCGGCAAGTGTGTGCCCTATCCCTTACCCTATTCAACTATACAATCGACTACATCCTCGGCAAGGACCTTCGGGACTATGCTGGAGTTGCGCTTGGTCGGAATGACAGGGTGTCTGATCTGTCCTACGCGGACGACATTGTCTTTGTCGGATCGAACTGTGACGATGTGCAAGCTGCGCTCAACCGTGTGCAAGCTGCAGCATGTGATGTGGGTATGACCATCAATGCCTCGAAGACCAAAGTTATGCCGTCCCTGGTTGATCCAGTCAACTAGCAGCCACTGACGCTGAACGGGGTCAATCTGGAGGACGTGCAGTCTTTCGTCTATCTCGGTTCAACCATTATACCATCCGGGCAGGCTGCTGCTGAGGTCGAACGCCGTATAGGATCTGCAAGGTCCGCATTCGTGCGTCTCAAGCTGTCACTATGGGGGCGACGGGAGATTTCCACGGCTACGAAGGGGCGCATATATCAGACTATTTTTCGGATTATCCTTCTCTATGGCTGCGAAACGTGGCCACTTAGAGCGGTTGACCTACGAAGGCTTGAAGTATTCGACAACGACTGCCTTCGCTGCATTCTACGATGCCGCCGGATCGATAGTGTGCCCACAGCCACTCTACGTCGTCGCCTGAGTCTCCGTCCTCTTCCACCCGTCCTGCTCCAGCGTCGTCTCCGATGGTTCGGGCACGCAGATCGACGCCCGGAGGGAGAGCTCATCCGCAATGTACTTCTCCTTCCTTTTCTTCCTGGCTGGCGAAAACGTGTCGGTGGGAAGCTGAGGACGTCGGCTAGCACAATCAAGGATGACCTATCAGTACTATCGGGTTCACAAGTAGTTAATCTTCGACGATGGAATCGCGATTGGCTCGCCATTTCGTGTGACCTGGCTCAGGATCGGCGAGCGTGGGCAGCGATGGTCCGTGATGCGCTACTTGCTCGTGAGGAAGCCGGTTCAACCCGATCAGGGTGAAAACCGTTACAAGTCAAGTCAAGTCACCCAACACTACGAAACGATGAAGAATGCATCGGCTGAAAACTAGAGAGAAAAACAAAAACTGACAAGTTCAAATAAAGCGCGGATTGATAAGAATATTAAGTACGAAGAATGCATCGGCTGAAACAAAACAACAGAGATGAGAATTGTTATTCGATCTATACGTGAGCTAATAAGTCTCCCATCAAAGTGTTTTTCAGTAATCTATAAAGGTAGGAATCGGTTGATGGAAGGTCAGGTGAATGGGGCAGGTCAGGTAGAACAGACTGACTGTGTTCCAGAATTTCTTCTTCGGTTTCTTGCTGTATTGGGCCTCGTATTGTTAGTGTTGTGGTAGGATCCACCTAATTTGCATAGTGGAGTACCGACGATATAAATATGGTTGGTACCGGGAAGAGAGGGAGGAATCAAGAGATTCAACCAGAGACTCTGTCCGACTGCGACTCAGTCAACACATTCTCCAGGAACGGTCTTCCCAGGAATATACAAAAGACTATATGTAAATATTGTGTACACTTTCTTGTTTCAATACATTTTGTTCTAAGTACATTTTGTGTTGCATTATTATTCCATGCATTAGTCAAGTTTCAACAGTTAGTGAGAAGAACATTTTTCTTTTTCTGCCCCTGCTGCGCAAAAACTAAGGTATGTTATTGTAGTCAAAATTTATTCTTAACTGTCACGCAATAGTTAGGATGATACACTCTTCATTACAGTTTTGTTCACCAAAAACGGAAATTACTTATGACGCAGATTAATATTTTGCTAAGAAGAATTTACCAGACGGGATGGTCATTGCTATGAGATACAGCATGTTTTTTAACGACTTTTTATTGTTATATCTGGTCTGTTGAATAGCACAGTGAGTTGATACGCATAGTGAAGTTTTAGAGAGCGTCATGTTCACCTTGAAATTGTGGTGCTGTGTGTTCATACCAATTTTCATCATAAGTAAGATTAAGTTCGTATACTTTGAATGCGGGGATTTCTTTACTTTATCATGTCCATATTTAAATTCAGTTTGGACTAGGGTTGAGCAACCAGATAACATATGGTCAATAGTTTGCTCAGTATTTGCACAAAAGGGACATTAAAATATATACCGGGTGGGATCTTGTTGGCAAATTTTGATTTTGAGCAGCCAGGATGAACCCCACTTTTTCTAGTTTCAACACAGAGTTTAGCAGTTACTGATGGGTCAGATTTTTGTCAACATCGGGTCTCGCATCTGGTGTTTTCTTTCAATTGACTTTCCAGCTAGGGCTATATTTTTTAGTTTCTGTTTTATATTTTTGATCCTTACGTTTACTATTTTACAGCCGAATTCATCTTGTGTGTATAGTTGATCTTATTTGAAGATTTGCCATTCTTTCACAATTGAATTTAGCTTTTTGTTGGATTCACGCTGATAAACAAACTTTAGCATCCAAACATTGGTTTATTCAAATATCTTTCAAGGCTGATAGTGGTCGCCTTGTATGTGAATTCAAGTTAGATCGGTTCAATACCTACATCTGCCCTAGGCAGTTACAATTGATCTGGATCTACTTTGAGGTCTTCTGATCCTTCTATCTATTTTTCGTATCTCTTCTAGATTCCAGTTTATCGCATTGAATTGAAAAAGTATGTAACTACAGTTAATAGCATCAAATGCATTTTTCACCTAAAAGATTCTTTTTTTTTAAATGAATTCTTTCCTTTTGTATGTTGGATTCATTGTTTTTCTTTTATATCAAGATATTTAATATACTTCTTCATGATCTCGGACGGGAATTACAGTTTCTTAGTCAATTTATATATCAGTTACTCGTAATTTTTTGAAGGCTGCCTTAAATTTTCTATAACGAATTCCATGCTAATATCATTACTGATACTCTTCAGTTGTTAACGAACCCTTTAATTCATTATGGCGTTTCATAAACAGATTTAAGCTGTCCATATTGAATAAATGATTAATGAATCTATTGGATATCTTATAATCATAAGTTGTGCTCAAATCCGCATTTGATGGCGCATATTAACGAAATACAAAACAATACAGCCAAAAGTTAATTTGATGGCGGATATTAACGCAATACTGAACAATATATGCAAAAGGGAATTTGATGGCGGGTATTAACGCAATGCAGGCAAAAGGGAACTTGATGGCTGGCATTAACGCAATACAGAATACGACAAACAGAATGAAATATGATGGCGGGTATTAACGTAATACAGAAAAATAAACGCAAAAGCGAATTTCATGACTATTATTAACGCAATACTGAGCAATAAAGGCAAAAGGGAATTTGATGGCGGGTATAAACGCAATACGGAACAATACAGGCAAAGGAAAATTTGACGGGTGGCGTGAATGCAATACTGAACAATACAGGCAAAAGGGAATTTGATGGTGAGTATAAAAGCAATATTGAACAATACAGTCAAAAGTGAATTTGATGGCTGTTAATAATGCAATATAAATCAATACAGTCAAAAGGGAATTTGATGGCGTGTATTAACGCAATATAGAACAATACAAGGTAATCTCTTTGAAATATTCTTATATTTTTCAGTTTAAAATATATGAGCGAAAGACAAATTGTTTGTAAAAGTTTTCTTATAATCGTTACAGAAATGTTTTGCGAATCGGTAAATATGATTTTTTTTATAGAATAAATATTTAAACATTTTTTCATTATTTCTGCAAGTTCCTCGTCCATTCGTAGTCAATATTTCTATATATTGTAATAGTTCTGTT